TATATATTTATTATACATAAAGGAACGTCAGACCTCATTGTTATGAAAATTTAAAACATTAAATGCTTAATAGTTAATAGTTAAGTTAGGCCCAGCTTACAAAAGTCTCCTTTGTTATTGAACGATTATTGAAAGGTAAGTTTTATTGAGGATCTTAGGCTTTAGAACATTTAATTTAACTAATTAAATTACTGTATACATAGTGATTGATAATATTTGTATTATTGCGGTGGTCCATCCAAGTACCTACGTTATATAGCTTTTATTAAATATTGCAAGCATATTATTCCACTCGGTTATAATATGAGTAAAATGTATAAATCAAAATTGATTCTTTAATACAATTCATTTTTCTATTAAATCAATAATAATAAAAGATGCTAGTTGCTTATATAGTTGCTTTTTTAAATATAAAATTGGCACTTGTGAAGGATGTGGTCTCTATGGATTGCTATCTGCCAATGTTTATAACCTGAACTCTGATAATTGTGACAAGGCACTGATAATCCCTATCTTCAGATGAAATTCAAAAACACATAAACAAATGTAATAACAACAAAACAATTTTATTTTACAACATTTACACACACACACACATATATATATTAATAAGAAATATAAATATAATAATAACATTGTAATTTAATAATAAGAAATATAAATTAAAAAACACTATCATTTGATTTATTTTGGCAGGTAAAATAGCGAGGAACGGATCCTCTTCTCTCTCTATATAAAATATTTAATAGCTTCTTCTTCTGAAGACGTCATTAAAATTCAATCAATAAATGCATACACAACAACTTGCACTAGATAAAAAGGCAGGTTCTATGACGTAACATAGGATAAGAAGGTTACGTATGATAAGATAAGAAGGGAGGTTTGCCAGAGACCACCTCGTTCACAAGTACCATAAAATCTTTTTCTACTTCCAGGGTGGAGGGGAAGTGAGGGAGGGAGGGCGTTTCTCACAAGAGTCATGAAGGTCTTCATTGCAACTCCATCCGGAGAAGGCACTTGAACCATCTTAACTTATGTTCCTTCAGGATGATTTTCACCGTTTTGACATCGCCGATGTCCTGGAAGATAGTATTCCGAATCCTATTACACCTGGTCATTAACTCTATTTTTCTTATGTATCTCTTATCCAGGAACTGTACGTGGCCTGTGTGCTTTGGAGAGAGTACAGACTCCATGAATACCATAGGACAGGAAGTGTTGAATAGGATTTATTTATTTTGCTGTATATATGTATTAATGTTTTCAGGTGGCCTCAAAACCCAAAAATAAATTCGTTCCTGGCCCCAAATGGTTTAGCTTATGGCACTGCATATAACAAAACGGGTATGTCAATTTCGTTTTTTTCAACAATATCAATTCAAAATTCCCACTTTTGAAAGATTGGTTTGTTTCAGTGCTACTTTTATGATAAAATATAATATTATAGTACTATAATATGTAATAATACCAATATGTTATATTGGTTAACAAATACTTTTCTGTTTTTCTATTTATGTGTTTTGGTAGTTTTGACAGTTTTATTGGAACATCTTAACATAATCGGTATTTATTTTTTTCATTTTCATACCTTTAAATCGTAACTTTTAAAGAATACTACTAAATACATAACAAATACCATCTAGATACAAATAACACTTAAAATGGATATGTTAGTGCAAATAATCTCTAGTGCAAATTAAAAAAAATAAAAATTAAATGTGATAAAGATTTTTATTATCATTCGATGATTTTTATTAAGAGCAATTTTTATTTTTGATCAGAAGTGATAAAATCCATATCCGGTCATTATTTTTGAATTAAATTGTTACAAATAACAATAATAATAATGCTTGAGTGTGACTTTTATAGATCAGAAATATAATTTTTTGGGATTTATGTGATATATTTTGAATCTGGAGTAGTTTGGAGAATATTGTTGTCAACTGTTAGCAACAGATCATCTTTGTTTCTGAAATTTGTTAGAAATTTGGCTATATATATACACACACACACACACACACACATGTATACCTGTTTATAGTGCAGATACTGCATGCACAATTAAAGCTGTTTCTTAATTATAAAACTGAAATAATATTTTTCAGTACGGAATGAACTAATCATTTATTAATAAATTGTTACTTTAAATTTTAAATATTAAAGTAATTAAATTTAGTAATTAATTAAATACTGAATTTACCAACTTCATAATATCAGATTCTATATAAGACTAAATCTACTTCACTGGTATCGCTTAGGTAGAGGAATCTAATATGTATACATAGGTATCTAATGTGAGAGTTTTCACTGGGGTAATACTGGCTGCTTTTATTTATAATAATAATAATAATAATAAGGCTTAGCGAACCCGAAGGTTCGATGCCGACACCACCAATCGCTTGTTACACACCTCCCTCCACCGTTCGCCGTCCAAACCCAGTCCCTTCAGATCGGCTTTAATGCAATCTTCCCACCTTCGCTTCGGTCTACCCCTCGGACGCTTACCATTCGGCACAGCAAATATTTAGGAATTCTCTCGTTACTAAGCCCAACAACTTTACAAGCCCATTTGATTCGCCGCGATGAAATTACCTCAATTATATTACCCGGATACAGCTCACGCAATTCGGCGTTGTGTAACCGTCTGAACTCTCCGGTTAACTCATCCTTCTTCGGTCCGAATATTCTACGCAATACTTTATTTTCAAAAACCTTAAGACGCTGCTCATCCCTTAATGTAAGCGGCCAAGTTTCGCATCCATAAAGAACTGTAGGCAAGATAATTGTTTTATAGATTCTAATTTTTAAGTTTCGGGACAAGAGGCGCGAACTAAGTAGTTTTGTCACAGAAAAATAACAAGCATTCCCCGCCTTCAGTCTAACCTTAATCTCTTCTTCAATTTTATTTATAATAATATAATTTTATTTAGTATTTAGATTAGAAAGGGGAAATCGACTTAAGGTAGTAAATCTAATCTAAAAATATTTCTCATTTTTTTAAAAAGTAATATTCCTCACATATTTTTTTTTTCCTACATGGATAAGCTATTGAAATCATTATCAACATAAAAAAATACCTGCATTATTATTTTCAAATATTTCTCTCGTAATATACTACTATTCTAATGTAATGATTTTTAATGTTCTTTTATTGTAACTAAACATTGCTTCCTTGTGAACTAGACAAAATTTACTTTAAATGAAAGTAGAGTTTGTCATTGTCAAAACTATTTAAAAAGCGCTGTTGAGCAGGACTATTTCTGTTCTTGACATAAGATTATATGTAATATTCTCTGTTTGATTAAGCGTATTTTGCATGAGGGTGAATTTCATCTCAAGCAAGTTGGAATACATTTTATCATTTCTTAATTTATTTCAGATGAGGAAATCAATATGAAAATGATGACAATAAATGCATTTGTCCACATAATCATGCATTTTTATTATTTGATGTCAGATTTATGTTCTTCATTTAAAAAGTATTTGTACTTGAAGAAGAATGTCATAATGGTTCAGTTTTAATGATTCAGGTATACACATGTGTAAAATAGTTGTATAGATGTTGTTGAGAAATTTGAATATAAAACCTAAAGATTAACACAGGCAATAATCTAATATTAAGGTAATATAAACAGCCTCACTTATTCCCTAGCTTAATCGTAATCAACGACAACTAGCATAGTAATAAAACTATAATTTCAATTTATTTAAAATAAATTGGATTCACTTTTCATTTAATTAGGATTGAAAACATTTCCTTGCCAATAAATACCGCTTCTTTAATATAAATGAAAATTATAATCGAGAAAATAAGAAAAGGCCTAGAATAGAAAATCAAAATTAAAATGTACCATTTTTTCGGTATATCTATTTCTTTTAGGCGTTGTAGAGTCAGTTTTCCTTCCCCATTATAAAGTTCCACTTTTATATTAGTTATGCCAGAAAATGTGTATACATATATCAGTCATAATTACATTACATTATGGCCAAATAACAGAATTGATTAGCAGGACACATATAGAGATTTAAACAGTTGATTTACATGTTTTTAAGTTTAGGCTGAACTCCGAAGGATCCGAAGGATTTTTTATAGTATGGTCTTCTTAAAGTAGCACGATGTAAAGTAGATCTAGGAGTTATTTAACTAAGAAATGTAACAGAATGAAAACTGTAGGATTTAATTCTAAGCAACAGCTTCTAAATATATATAATCTGTGCACATCTAATTTCCAATCGACAGCGAAAAAAATAAATATGGTATTTACATAAAATTTATTCTAAATTAAATTATTTGTTAATAGTATATTTTTAGATATTTGAGGTAGTGTGCAAAAAAACTTAAATTTAATTTAAAAAGTGTTACAACAAAATTAATTATATTTTATACTTTGTTATATAAAAAGTATAAGAAGAAGGAATTTTGTTCAAATAATGTTTTATAATATTAATAGTCTTCATAATAATCATTTATTTCATAAAATTTCGCGATTTTTCATATACTTTTCTGTTTTGGATTAGGTTCCGCTAGATTGCTAAAACAGCCCACTGTGCGCCGTGAAGAGCTGTTTTTCGCCAAATTCCGATTTATTTAAACGTTTCTCATCGATAATATTAAAGCATGGTACTCCCTCAGTGCAACGAATAATCTTTCATCACTGATCCTAAAAAATTTTTGTATACCTTTCACTGAACGATACTAACATATTTTTCTTGAATTTCTGACTGAACTTATAATGCTGTTGACCATGGCGGTGGGGAAACGAGTAACCTGTCATTCTTCTATCACCTTTGTGGTTGAGTGAAATGGTCATGCTGGTTTGTTCATTCACCGAATTCTGTTTGAACACTTCTAACAAAATTAAGATTGACTGAAGATCTTCTATTCTTTTCTACGACCTTCAGCTGCCATATGCCATGGAAAAGGAAACAACACAATTGATCATCTGACATTAATGAAAATCAATTGCTGTGTAGCCGAAAAAAATGGACATAAAAAGCTTTTCAAAATATATATTTTTTAAACGTATTATTACTTTACTTAAAGTTTTCTCATTTGATGACAATGGGTGTCAATCAAGTCGCGGTTCATTGACAGTGTTTCTGCGTGACAACCTATTTAAAAAATAATTTAAGCTACATATAAATATTTATGATAATTCTGATTTTCCATCACTCAAAATGCGTCAAGAAGTTGTAGTAGGTATATATCCCCTTCAAACCCTGAAAAAAAATTGCAATTAAAAGTTGTACTTAGTTATGAAATATTTTATATTTTTTACAGATAAATAAACAGAAACAATCAGAAACGTGAGTAGCTCTATGATAAAAGAACTGCAACAGTACCGATAATTCTTACTTCATAATAATTACATAATTACTTCGTACTTAAGATTCATTTGTAAAATACATCCAAAATGGAACAGGTACGGATTTAAGGGTGTTTCTCTAAGAACAATTAGCCTGCAGTATAGACTTTTTTTTTTCAAATTATTAACACCCGCCTAAAACATTGCGAATGGCTTCATCTTATCCTAACCTACAAGTTTTTTATTTACGAACATTCTCATAAATGTGGCGTTTTCTCATTAAATTAATTAGTTTAATGATGTAATAAACACTCATTAATATCCATTTTCATTATACTTGAAGCGTAAGATTATTTAATCACTAAATCGAGAAAAAATATAGCATGCAAAACATATTGGGCCGTTTGGGATTGTTTAGACAAATAAATAAGTTTAGAACAAAAAAAGGCAAAAAAACTTTACTAAGTTTAACGTGGGGTAACAAACGAAATAATTCGTCAGTGGGCTGTATTAAGGCACTAATGGCCTTTCTGCTGGCATAAGGCCATTTCTTAATTTGGGACAGGACTCCCTTCACCGCTACGTCTTTACTGGAGCAGAGCCTCAGTTGAAGTGGCCCAAGTTCAGAAGTAGATTGCTTTTGGTTATCCTTGTTTTTGCAACCTACCGCTAGGTAATGTAGGTGCAAGTACGTATTCACGAAACAGGGATATATAACCTCGTCATGGAGGTCACGCTAAACGGACCTATATTTTTGTAGGCCACTTTTGTTCTCGAATTTGTGATCAAATTATCTCACGACTTAAATGAAAAGGGAGTGGATGCTCATGAGTTTTTTTTATCTCATTAAATAGACAAAGTTTACCAATTTCCTGGTATGAAAGCGCTCCATTTCCGAAAATTTTCGTAAGTAAAAAGTTATAGATAAGAGATGAAGATGAAGCCATTCATGAAGTTTTAGGCGGATGTTAATAATTTGATAAAAAGGGGTCTGTACTATGGACTATAACACTACAAGGTTTTTCTTAGCTTATAAAACGCTACTAATGTTTCTATTATTTTAGTTTAATATGTATGATGACTAAATCAGTACTTAGGAGTATTATCAGGGATATCTGCGATTTGCTGAACAAAATCTAAATTCATTTATACGGATCCGTTTTTATGAGTATACATATGTACACGCAACTTATCAGATAAGAAAGTATGAAAACAAAAAAATCATTTCGTTTCTTTTTTCTATGATTTCAGTATCAGAAAAGGACAAAGAAATGAAGTTAAATATTACCATAAATATATGGTAACATTTATCAGACTGGGAGGCTTTTCAAGAAAACATTGAATGTCATGAGGAGTGCCCATCCCCCGCAATGTCGATGGCGCATGAACATTCCCTCTACCGCTCCCCAAGATATCTTTTTACTGTCTTCTTCTTAAAACACCATACAAATAAAAGTAACATTTAAAAAATCATAGATTACATTCAATTACACATCCTGCATTCTGTTCCATTCTTCTTCTTGTCTTCTGATTTAAAACTTTTCAATTTGAAAATTCCTAACACCGTCGAAATGTGCCCCCTCAAAAATTCAAAAGCCGGTCAAAATGTACCAATCTCAAAACATTTGATAGCGCTACTTGAAACCCCCTGTTGGACACCCCTGAATGCAATGCTTCTTTTGGCAGAAACTTACAGTGATAACATTGTTTACAAAACCAAATAATTGATAACCATCAACTGTTAATTTTAGAAAACAAACGATGATCACACCTGAAGAAAATACTAATGTATCCAGATCATCATTTGATGGATTTAGGTCCAGAATTTCTTAACAATTGAATATATTAGACTAATAATAACTGAGGGACCATGTTTTTTATGCCAGAAGTAAGGTTTGGATAAAATATGGTAAGGATATTAATCAGGTATGGCGATTATCTTTCGGGCCTAAATAATTTTCAATAATGAAAGTACTTGCCTTTATAAAAGTCTCCTTATCCATATCACCCATACTCATCATCCTGAGAGGTCTTGATGTGTAGCTCTGCCTCATCACTATCAGGACGTTATCGCGGTAGCTCTTGTTCCGGTTGTACCAATCCGATGAATAAACTGCACCGAATACTGCTTCTTCCTGAAGATCACGTTACAGAAATGTGAAATCTATGATCAATTTATTGTATATTTATAATAACTTAATATTTAGAGCAAAATACAGTGTTTGAAAAATATCTTGAAGCTCTTAGCTTGGCCAGACATACAACCAACTTGAAACATCCACACAATGTTTTGCTTATTTGACATGAAGTAGATGCATATCCTTCTATTATAAAAACCACTTACCCACAGAAATATACATATTTCTTAACTTTCCAATAAAAATAAATAAAAAAACCTTGGGAAATTCTAAAACAGAAGAGGAGTATCGCTCAATCCATTGATAACTTTCCTAATAAGTAAATTAATAAAAATAAATTACAGAAAAATTTGAAACAAAAGCTTTAAATCTCTCCAAAATCAGCAAATAATCTTTGACAAATTTGGTCGAAGTTGTGTCACAATGTATTATGTCATAAAACTCTACCACAAGATGGAAATTTAACTTCAATACATAAAATATTATATTAGAAAACAATTAGGATGATGATTGGCCAGAATTAATAAATCTAAAAAAGATCATGTCAAGATCCCGAAGATAAAACAAAATGTCTTGAAATGTTGATAGGTCTCACAAAATAAATGATAAATTATAAAAAAGCAAGACTATTTCCACAAATGAATTATAAGAATTATAAATTATAAATTTTCCCTTTAATAATTAAACTGTGATAATAAACTAAACATGCATTTTATTCAGTTTATTAATTTTATTTAATGGCTTTAAAGATACATGTGATTTTTGTAATAACAATAATTTGGCCCTTTTTTTCTCTCCTTATTTTTTCGATTTTTTAAATTAGTGTAAATAACTAGTTTATGAATCTTTTCTAAATTTCTGAATTCCTTTCTTTAAACTAATATTTATTATAGCCCTATTATAGTTGAAGATTATGTTGTTGTGTTTGAAGTGTCATTTAATCAGTTTTAGATTAATAGAATGACACTTTTTCTGAACTGACTCCTTTCTTCTTCCCTTTTTAGAGATTATTTCACAAGTTAGTGCTAAAAACTTTGGACAAATCAGTAATTCTTTATAATTAGAATAATATTTTTAAAATATTTAAATAAACAGATATTTATGATAATTTATTTTATTAATAAAGGCTAAATCACAAAACATCAGGATAGTTTAGATGCAATTATTTAATGCATTAGTTAAAAAGCTCTTTTGCAATGACAAATTTCAGCAACAATTCAGTCTTTCTTTAAATTTCATATAAAGATAATTAGAAAGTAATATAAAGAGAATTGTTATTTCATTAACTGAATAATCTAGAAGATCATCTTCCTAAAATCCGATTAAATTCCACTGTATTAAATTTTCATGATATCTTACAGATTGATGATTGATATTTGTTTGAGAATGAATACAAGTAAAGAAATTTTAATTTTACTCTCCTATGCTATTTTACTACTGTTGTTTTTTTTTTTCTTTTTTCTTTTTGTTTTGTTATCACTATTCTCTTTTTTATGCTATCATTTCTTCTCCTTGATATCATATTTGCTGAATACCGAGGTAGATGGCAAATTTATTGTGAGCCAGGAATATGTATAACTAATAAATAAATAAATATTTATAAAATTATATGTATATCATTAGAATCTGTACATTTGGGATGAATTAATATAATTTTAAACTTCATTGTGCTCTTCTTAACAATCAGAATTATGTGGTTCTTTCCATTTACTTCCAAGTATTATTTTATTTAAAAATCTAATATGGGATTTAATTCTTTTTTTGCAGGAATCAATTTATTTTTTCATTAACTATTACTTATTGTGCAATTCATGAGATTTCATACTGTTCAATCGATCAATGAATGAAATGAAAAATAATTTTATACTGAATATGTAAATAAATACTGAAGTATGCTTACAATAATAGTAGAGTTAAAAAGTTAAAAAAATATGTACATTAGTCTGGCACGTAGATATCATACAAATATATACAAAAAATAGTTAGGAAATTGCATATATATATATTATATAAAGATAGTAAGGAAAATACAAATAGATATAAAAAAATTACAAAGGAAAATATAAATATCTACTTCTATTTCTTCTTTCATCAGACTTAGGCAATTTTAAAATTATGTGACAATGCAACTCTAACATGTATTGTAACATGCATTATTTTTTAACTAACTCCTTTTTAGCCATGAATCGATAAGAGAACATGGGATTGTAAGTTCTGAAGATGGGACTAAATTTACCGAAACTTTAACATAAATATATCAGTTATTGTATATTTGGAAGTTATCATTGCCAGAAAACAGATAAATATCTACAAAAAATTCTAAGAAAATCACAAATATATACAATAAATACTGAGTTATAAAAAAAGTGAATAAATAAAAATAAAATGACTTCTATCAATTAACTGCTGGTGACAAACGTAATTATATAATCCAGAAATTTTTACAAGCTTGTGGAACTTTGAATTTGTAGTAGGTGGTGGAATAGGAGTTGTTTGAAGGAGTTTATGGATGTGGTTTGATATATGGAGATAGGTAGGGAGTTCCAGAAGGAGGTAGCAGGAATGAAGAAGGATTAATTGAAGGATGTGGTTTTATGGGAGGGTATATATAATTCTATAGGTTGAGATCTGGTGTTGAGAGAGTGAATAGATGGGCTTAAAGTAAGAAGTATTAAGATGTAGGTAGAGTTTTTGGTTCTGAGGACTTGAAAACAAAAACATCAAGAAGGGATTGCTGTCGAGAAGTAGGGTAAAGCCACTTCCAATTGTTGTACCAACAAGAAACATGAGAGCACTTGGGAATCCCAAAGATGAATGTTATGAAGCAATCCATAAGTTTCTTTAGTCTCGCCTCCAGTCCTGTGGACAGTGCTCCATACACCAGGCAACCGTAGTCGAAGTGGTGCAAAACAAGGGATGTTACAAGGAGCTGTCTGTATAATAGTACTATTGTATATTATATACGCTACTTCTATGAGTTAAACTAAGAGTTCTGTCTAGCATTGAATATTAAAAAGTTGTAGTTGAACTCACGCTACTTTTTAGTTCCCCACACATCCAGGAATACAGGTAGAGTGTTATCAATGAGGTTGTCATAACAACAATGAACCCGAAAACTTCTCTGAATACTTCAGAGAATGAAGAAGCAGTTTTCATTTTCTGTATAAAAATATACATGGAATAGATATAAAGAGAATATATAAAATTAAAATAATTAAATAGATTAATACAGTTTCCGCTTCTGGCTACTTACTGTTGTGATGACGAGAGCCAAAGTGCAGAGAAGGACCATGCAGTTGCCGACTACTAGACCCAAAATAGGGTTCATTACTTCACTGATTTTTTTAGTTGTCCTATTAGAGCATTTAATAGATCACTAAGCATTTATTAAAAAAGAAAAAAATACATGACTTATGAAGTTATCTTTCTAATGGTTCTGAAAGATGGTTATTTGGCTGAGATTATACTCAACTACAAGGTTTGTCCCTCAATTGATTAATTATTAAAAGTATCGACATTTTAGAGGCTATATGAGTCCTCACAGAATCTTCTGACCCCAGGATTGATCCAAAACTGATGTAACAGGATAATTACCTGTGTCAGCTAGACTCAAACTTGGGATCAGAAAAGCAGAACTTGCTCACTGTACTTCACTCTCCACTAACTTTATTTATTTAGTTTAAATTTTTTAGGATACTGATATGATGGAAAGATGAATACTGCAAATAGTTATTAGATTAAAATTGGGAAAATATGAAAAAATAATACTAAAATACATTTCTGAATTTAATTCATATTATGAAGTAAATATATGTTTAAATATGATGGAAATGTATTATAGATACGAGTTTAATAGATAATAGATATGACTGTCATTTTCAGAAATTGGCTATTTGAAAAAGGAGATAGCCAGAACTAATATAATTGTTTTTCAATATTTTTCCACTTCTTCTTTGTTGCATACTATTTATTTTCAAGTTTATTTATTATCAGCCATATTGCACCAATTTTCAAAATTTGCTCAACTTAATGACTACCCATCTAATTACGACGTTTCGGCTCGTTGAGCCATTTTCAAGTCTAAAATTTTTTTTTCAATTTACAATCATATTTAAAACATTACATTCTTCAACGTATAGAGATTCTTTTTATATACCTAAAATACCAATCATGTACCTGTCCTTTTCACTTATGCGAATTGCATGCTTCTACTCATAATAAAAATTTTTTATTTTTGTCATGTCCACCTTTCCAGGACAGGTACATGATTGGTATTTTAGGTATATAAAAAGAATCTCTATATGTTGAAGAATGTTATGTTTTAAATATGATTGTAAATTGAAAAAAAATTTTTAGACTTGAAAATGGCTCAACGAGCCGAAATGTTGTAATTAGATGTGTAGTCATTAAGTTGACAAAATTTTGAAAATTGGTGTAAAATGGCTGATAATAAATAAACTTGAAAATAATTGTTTTAACGACTTTCTACAATCAGATTTCATCCTGATACCAATAAATTTTTTAAAATGCAACAAAAAAAAAAAAATTATAATTTACATGTTAATTCCCCAATTAGAATTCTTACAGTTGATTACAAGAAGATAAAAATGGGATAATTGAAAAAACATGGCAGCAATTCATTATAGCTGTAATGTTTACTATTTAAATATTTTTGTTTGCTGTTTATTTATTCATTTATTATCTTTTATATCAAAGTTTTTGAAAACTTCAAAGGTAGAATATTTGTATGAGGATATGAAAACTATATTATTAATTATTTATCTGTACATAGGTGTGAATGTGTTTAATTTATTTTGTTATTATTCGGCTAATCTGTTATTTTACTTATCTTATATATTACTTTATCTTTATATATATATATATTTTTTTTTTCTTTTTTTCTTTTTCCTTTCTTATGTACATATTATGTGAATGAATACTATAGCCCTAGTAGCAATGCCCTTCAGTGTGGCAGACTGTATTAATACTCAATAAAACAAAAAAAAAAAAAAAAAAAAGTTATGAGAAGTTTTATTCAAAAATCAGATAAATAAATTTCTGAAGTAAACAAAATAATAATAAACTATAAAAAATAAAATAAATAATAAAAAATAAAATATATTCTTTTAAGGTACAAGTCTATGAACATTAATATGTTGTTTGCTCATTTTGTCAAGTTATGCTTCTCAACAACTTTATGAAAAATTTTGAATGAGACGCCGATGAATTTGGATAAAATGGTCATTTTAATAACACAATTTAAAACAAAATTACATGAAAAGTCAAAATAAAATTGCATTTACTTTTAGAAACATAAATATATACCTTAAGGCTCTTTGATGATCTTCAATAAACAGCTTTAAATCGATCCTATTCCTGTTGTCCTCGGATCCTAAAAGAAGGCTGTAATCTCTATCCAGCTCTCTCGCGAGCTCGTTAGAAGCCATCAACGACTTACAAATAACATCTATTTCTGAACAGACCATGACGATTACCGATACGAAAAACTGATCGATCGGAATGAAATAAGTAAAACCTGCAGAAAGTACGGTGAACTCCATACATGCGATAATAATCCGATTTCTAGTAGAAGTCTCATCGAAGGGATACCTGACTGGAAAGAATTTCGGTATAATGTTCTGGGGACCTGTAGCAGTGATGAAGCCGGCCTGTGTGAGACCATAAATGATTGGTTGGATAAAAAGAGGAGTTATGATCCAGAACAGGAAGTTCATGTATATGACCGTGTAGTAAGTACTTGCCAGCCTTCTCAGGAACTGGCCTCTCTCTCCAAGAAGTCTTCTTGAAAACACGGGTCTGTGATTCGACGTATGGAAGCGTTCGAACCGGAGGCAAAGAGAACGGATATCCTTTATATGATAGAGGAAATAGCCCATCTTGATCACAAGTTGAACGATGTGAGCAACATAGCTCAAGTCGAAGGCCACTTGAGCGAGGTCTCCCTTCCGACCTAAGAACATTCCAGAAACTTCGATGACAAGCCAAACCGGGAAGTAGAGAAACAAGAAGAAGTAGGTGACGTATCGCTTTAGTTTCCAATAAGAGACGTCTCTTGAGGGATGTTCGTCTAAGAAAACATTCAGATGAGAATAGCTGAACATTTTCCAATAAGTACTATTGATGAAATCAAAATCTTTAGCTTCGTCCATTCGGCCAGGTGGAAATAATAATACAGCCCTGGCTGCTGAGAGCGAACAACTCGTTCACTAATGCACGAACTAACTTTGCTGGTTTATTATTGATCAGTCAATGTTCTCAACTACCCTCGTCCTCGAACAAAAAAGGAACTTATTAAATCAGAGCCAAACTTGGGAAGGAATTGTGATGAGTTGAATCATTCAACTTTCAACGATTCATTCCAGTTACGAGAAGTATAATCCAATGATGTGTCACACAGGGAACTGTCCCGGTCAATCAAGCGGGACAAAAGTAAAAATATCGATTGTGCATATTTTTATGGAAAATGACATTAAACATGTGTTTATATATCGGCGTAATTAGAAAAAGAAGAATAAGTCGAAAAAATACGAACAACATAAGTAAAATTGACAGCAAAAATAGAAAATTAAGAGCCAGGTTTAATAATAAAGAGTAATGGTTTGGTTGCCTTAGTGAACAATAAATAGATTTTACACCATCAAGTTAAGAATTTCCCCCCCAAATGGGCTTATTACATAGAAATAACTCTTCTTTAAATGTTTGCATTGAATACATAAAAAGTTTCGGTTGAATTATAATTAATATTTTTGCAATTGTGTAGAAATTTGAAATAGTATATCATTTATAAAACCCCAGGGTCACTTACAACTCTTCCTTATTTTTTTTTTGTGTATAAGGAAGGAAGGAATTATAAGTGCTTTTCCTTATGTATAAAGAATAAGTGAATATATTTTGTATACGTAAAGTTTACTGTTCTTTAATTTTAAATAATTATGGAAAGAATAAGTACCCTGTATAATCAAGGAGAAAATTTCGGTTTTTCAGTTTTTTCAAAAAACTTGACCGGATTGACAAACAGCGGCTGTATGAGCAATTTAGCGTGACAAAAGTCAATACAAAGGAATCAATTGTTTGTTAAAAATTCTTTCTATTTAATTAGAAAAAGGAAATTTAATTTCGGGAATGTTTTTATGCATTATCAAAAGATATATTTCATGAGAAATTTTAAATCGTAAACTAAAAAATCACATTTTATTTAAAAACCTACTTAACCTATATAATTAACTCATAATTCAAGTTACAAAAACAATTGCCTATTTTTTATTTTATAGCCATTGTGTTTTATGTTCAATTTATTTTTTTTTATTATTGCGGAAGTATAACAAAGATGAAATGCTCTATGAAACTTTTTTTGATTGTATCACTGCAAAATAGTCTTTTAGATCCTAAAAGAATATTTTGCAGTTATACGATGTTTTTACATAGGAATCGATACTTATCTCAATTTCCATTAAAATCGATTAGGGTTTACTTTAGAAATAAACAACTCATTCAGTTTATATATATATATATATATATATATATATATATATATATATATATATATATATATATATATATATATATATATATATATATATATATATATATATATATATATCTTAAAATACCATATATTGGACCGGGTCGTATTTATGAACATTGATATAACAATTTTAAGAAACCTCGTGTATTCTTTTATTCTTGCGGGTGTAGAAGGGTGACACTCTTCAGGATATTTGTGCTATCGCCAGTAAAATGGTATGCAACAACATGCAAAAAAAAAAATAATAATAAATAATAATAATAAATAATAATACAAATTTATTTTATTGTTAGAAAGGATATATTAAAATATTTTATTTGTTATTCAAATTTATGACTGTACAATTAAATATAAAAAGTAAATTTTTCCTAATAATATAAAACATGATAGGAACCACTTAGCAATTAGCAATTACAATTAAAATTAGATAAATTGCATAATAATTAACTGGCATAATTTAAATGAAAGATTGACATAAATATAGTTGAACGAAAGTTTATGAGAAAGATACTGAAGAACTCTCAATAATGTTTTTGAAATATTGAAGCAATTAATTTTTAAGCATAGTTGATTTGAGTAAAGGAAAGCCCTTATATTTATATGGAAGGTAAGTCATCGACATATTACAATAAGAATGTCCAGATATGGATATCTCAAATAAGATAAAATTTCGAAACAACCGTTTTTATAATACGCTGAAGGACATTTCTATAGAAGTCATTCTTAGGAGCTCAGTCGTAATCGAGTCGGCGAAACATGTACTCGTATCTCTTCTTTATTTTGTATCTACTGAAGTTCGTAAGTGCAGACACCAATGAGATAGTTTTTCAGACCAAATACTTCGATGCGCCTGTCAGTAAAACTTAATATTATTAACTTACTAAATAATATCACGATTTCGTTTTTAGAAAAAGATATATCTGAATGTAAGGTAATTTTTTTCAGCTTGACCATTTCAACTTCAGGGTAACAGACACTTTCAAACTCCGCTATTTGATAAACGATACATATTGGAGGCCACACGATGGAGCTCCAATATTTTTCTACGCCGGAAACGAAGGAGACATCCACATGTTTGCCAATAATACGGTAAGCGCTTCCTAACCGTTAATTTTGGTCATCTTGTCAGAAAAACCAAACAGTGTTTAGAAAATAAAAAAACAAAACAAATAAGTTGTGTGCTTTAGACCACACGATAGAAGTGAAAACATCAACATGGCGAGATTAATAATATGATTTATAAATTATAAATAATAGCTCATTATAAAGAGGATAGAATGCTGAATATTTCTCTCGCTTACAGTACGCAGGTCCGATTTTTACTTTCTGAGATATTTTAATCCACATCTTCAATAAAACTCGTTATCATTTGGTTTTCGGTCCTATTTTTCAATTTTCGCCTCCCTAACACGGCGTCGCGTTAAGATAAAATTTTGAACTATAGCCCATTACAGAGAAGATGAAATACTGAACAATTTCCTAGCTTACAGTATGCAGGCCCGAATTTTAGTTTCTGAGATATTTTAATCCCAATGTAAAAACATTACAATTATTCGACTCTCCTCGACTGGACCATAGAGTTAACACTTCGGAAATCTGACGGATCAATCTAATTCACTCTCTACAAAAAAGTACAAAACGCGCCTAATGAAATTTTCACTCCGAAAAGTTCCTATAGGAAGTGCCTTCTTTATTATGTATATAATAAAAATTATGAGACGAAATCACTGACCACAAAGTTTAAAGTAGATTTTTAAAAATTGTATGATTGCAAATGAACTAAGTAATGCAAATAATGAGATTTGAATTTTGTTTTTTTTGGCTTGATGGCATCATTTTCCGTTATGAGAACAACCTTCAGTCTACCATTCTGTTGAAACAAAGACTCGTAATGAAACATTTTACAGTTTCTAGCAAAAATTATTGTTTTCTTAATGAAATGTTTAAAACAGTCTGAGGACACTCGAACTAAAACTTAGAAATTGAACAAATACACTTACTGGAACTAAATTGGATTCACGTATCATAAATATCTAGAACAGCTAAAAAAATTTAAAAACTTCAAATGTTTCAAGCCTACCAAAAACAAATTGACACAATTAAAAAAACACACTGATGGCTTAGCACCAAAGCTTTATACACTGACCTTCACACGCCAACTACTAACGAACAACTTACAAACGATTCCATTACTAGTTACAAGGACAATCTAACATCCTTATAAACGTCACAAAGTCACAACACACATGCCAGGTGACGTCCGTAGAAGATTGAAGAGGAGCTGGATGAGAGATCTCTTCGCCTGACAATTAATGTAGATCTTGATCACTGCGGGATACTGCTCTCTCCCATGCTCTTGCCTTCACATTAATCCACTCATTATTATTATTATTATACAGATCTGAATAAAAACTAAAAATAAAAAAAGTTGTTTTTTAAAAGTTTGTAAGAAAATAAGGCCCCACGTAATGAAATTCTAATTAAATGTCCCTAACCTACGTTGTTGCACTCAGCACCAAAATGTAACCAAATAATTTTGTTGTTGTATTAGTTGTTTATAATTTTTTTTTGCAATGAAATATATGATGGGCAGTGAGATTAGAATTGTTATCTTTTGTTCAGTGTAGGCCAAGAAGTAGGTGAAGATGGATTAGCTTGGTGAGTTCAATTCTTAGCCTGCGAATCACAGAACATGGACATAAAATTAACAAAAGTAAAATAATAACTAAATAATAATCACTAACTATGTACAATAAAAAATAAAATAACCTATAGATAAGTGAATTAATAACATAAAAAAAAACAGTCATACCTATTTACAATATATATAATCAGATTTGTGGCTGATGGCCTTCCCCTCCGAAATGGTAAAATATAACCATGTTTTATGGAAAAAATATTTTAAAAATATCTCTCAAAGTATTATTTCTTGTGTAATTATTACCTTTAAAAGGACTTCAGAAATCACTTAAACACCATTTCATATAGATTGTTAGTTTCTTTCTTTTTTTCCAAAGTAATTATCGTCATTTTTATGAAAAAAAAAGCATTCGGGCTGAAGCCTTCCCTCCCCCCAAAAAATTAAATCCTGAATCTGCTAGTGGTGAGAGGTGTTAATAGTTCGTTCATTCGATTTGATATATGGTTATAGCCAATAATTCTTAAATGAAATTTTAATGCATTTTAAAAATCAACTATCGAGTACTCAAAATAAATTCGTTGTTTTCTTTACTTATTGTTTTGTGCCAACTTTTCCTTAAATTGGTTTGCAGTTCTTCTACTTCCAAACTTGAAATATATTTTTTCTTTCCTCGACATAATAAAAATAAAATAAATTCAACCAGTACTTATAAACGAGGTTTGTATCTGGAATATGGATCTCATTTTAGTTTAAATTTATGTAAAAATTTTAAAGAAAGCCGTCACTCAATGATTTTAAATTATTAACGCTAAACATTTCAGCTGTCAATCACACAAGACTTTCAAAATTTAGTTTCTGCGGTAAATACGTTTCCTCTAAATAATTTTAAATTATTTTAATATGCACCTTATCACGATTCAGTTAATAAAACCAATATTTAAGAATTGGTTCAACAAAAGACTTTTAGAAAGAAAAGGCCCTAACGACTGAACCAATAAAACTCAATTTACACACGAAGAAAATATAAATAGATTCCTAATAGGTTAGCAAATGAAGTGAGGAAAAAGTTGTGCCAAAATGGCGGTTTATGTGGAAACGCCATAAATTTGAACGTCAATTAGTATCTTTCTGGAGTTTGAGGGATCGGAAGCAAGGCCAATGGAAATGTCGGACAGACGCAAATGTGGGCGAGAAACCCGAGTTCATTATTATTATTATCTTATTATTATTAGGACATTATTATCTTTGTCTATAAATGAAAATTTAAATAATTGGAACATTTAGGGCTTGGTAAAAAGCGTACTTTTAGGGCTTAGCGTAGCCATCGACTTATGATATTTCTTTACTTTATTTTAGTGTATATATTTTATGCATTCATGTAGATTATTTTTTATTGATTTTAATTTAATTTTTTGAACTTCAATTATTGGAGAGAGGCCGTAATAAACTATGTTGGAATTTAATTAGTTCTACTTTAATAATAACTTTTATGACACTCAAGTAAATTATCTTTATCATGGTGATGAAAAACTGAAGAAGTGGGTTGAAAGAGCTTTACCTCTTGAGATAACGATCCAAACATCCTTAGCCTAATTTAAATCTAATTCCAGAGATAAAAAAAGAACAATTAAAGATAGCGCACTCCACTTAAACATCTTCCTAATTAAATATGGATAAAAAACACCGTAACCGATAAAGGACAATTATATAGTAGTTATAGGTTGTTTAGGATTAATATATATTAACATATATATATATATATTTACAAAAATTCTTTAATCGATTTTTGAGTATTATATTTTATAATTTTATTATATTTTATAAGAGTATTATTGTTTGCTAGAATTACGACTGACTTATTTATTAATTTTTTTTTGTTGTAATGGATAAGATGTAATGTCATGGGCATCTTTCAGGAGATAAAATATCAAAATGGGAATGATACTAGTAAAACAGCTAAAGGGTATTCGAAATTAATTTTTAAAAACTGTCACATTTGTAACCGTAGACGGCATTTCTTCTAAAAT